CCCTTCTGGCCCTTGACTGGTCGCTCCAGTAGCCCCTCCAATTGGTTGGTTCTCTGCAGCCATTCTAGGCTGCCTGGAGGACTTCTCCGCTACTCTATTCTGGGGCAGGGTGATGCAGAGCCGTGAGGCCTCCAGTAGGGTGAAACCCTCCATCACAGGGTGAAAGCCACTATTTACCCCAATGCAGCAGGCATGGATTTCCCAAATGGACCTCCAACTTTACAAGGAAGTTTCAAGTCCACCTAAACCTCCCGCAAGGGGCGGCAATAACCAGGCAGCCTGGATGTGCAATATGGAGAACATTGTTTAGGCTTGGCCAGATAACCCCCAACCTCATCTAAACAAATTAATCTGGACACTTGGGGGGGCGGGGGGAAGAGCTGGCTCAGTGGCTTGGCAGACTGAGGTGGGTACAAGCTCAAGGTCTAAGAAGGCCCAAGATTACGTCTTTCTGCCACACTGATCACCTGTCCTTAAAAGATGCAAAGAAGCAGTAAGGCTCTCAAAGGAAACTTATTTGGGACAAATATTTAAAAAGTGCTTAGCACTCAGCAGCTCTCATTGAGAACAATGGGGAATTCCCATCCCCGACTCCCCCCCTTGAGAAACAATGAGGAATTCCTGCCCCCTTCTTGCCCCCCTTTGAGAACATTGGGGAATTCCCACCCTTGACTCTCCTGGAGAACACTGGGAAATTCCCATCCCCCACTCCTCCACTGAGCGCAATGGGAGCTGCTGGATTCTAGAAATGTTGCCCCTGGTTTTAAGCTTTCTCTAGGAAAGGATGTTCAAGAAGCACCCTGCGGGGGTGGGGGAGGTAAGGGGTGCTTTAGAGTTTAGTCAGGAAGAACAAAGAGGTTAGGGTAAAAGTTCATTCCACACACACAGACTGGCCTCTGTCCCTGAAGTGGAGGAACCCCATTTCTATGCTGTAGATGCACCCATGGTAAGTTCAGTTTGGTGAGGGAGATGCCCAGACTATTCTCAGGAGCTGTACCCTTTGGAGGCCAACAAGGGGAGATTCTACAAAATTAAAAAGTAGCAAATGCAAAACCGATAAAAGGAAATACTTTTTCACTTAACACATTACTAGTCTGGAACTCACCGCCACAGCAAATTGTTGAGGCCGAGAACTCACGATTTTGAGCACGATTCAAAAAGGGGCTGGATATTTATACAGACAACAAGAATATCCAGAGCTGGAATAATTAATAAACAAAAATTCTGGGAGGAATAGTAAATCTCCTGCTTCAGGGCTTAAGCCAATGTCTAACTATTAGAGACCAGGATGAGACCTACCTGCTACTGCAGGGTTCTTACACCTTCTTCTGAAGCATCTGGTGCTGGTGCATTTCAGCAACAGGATCCTGGATTAGATGGACCTTCGGTCTCATCCAGTCTGACAATTCCTAACAGCAATCTGAAGGGACTCCTATGTGAGATGTACATCCTCACTCTCACTGCATATGGGGCCAACCCTGAGCTCCCCACTTAGTTTTAACTCAAGCAAATTCTCACTGAATTCTCATGAGACAGAGTAAGAAGGAAGGATATCAAAGGGAGGTTAATGCCCTGGACTAGAATTTAGGAGAACTGGATCCAATTCCTGATTCTGGCACGGCCTTCTTGTGGGGTCACTTAAATCTGTCGGTGCCTCAGTTCCCCATATGGCAAACAGGAGTAATAATTTGAGCTGGCAACTTTCAATGAAAACTCTTAAATCAAATTATTTCAGAGAACATGGGAATTGTCGTTCACTCCTCTTGTCCCAGTTCCCTTCTGAGGGCTGAGATCCCCAGCTTGACTATATCTCCCATAATGCATCATGGTTCCCCCCTCTTCACTGGGGGAAGCAGTGCATAGGAGTCCCTGTTCATGGTGCATTATGGGAGATGTAGTCCAACTGGGGATCCCAGCTCCTAGAGGAGAACGGGGGCAAGAGGAGCAAACTGCAACCCCCATAAGACATTACAGCTCCCATTTTCAGCTGAAATATTTCAGTTTTCAGCCATTTTTCAACAAAAAACAATTTTCTGTGGAAAGTGGACACTTTTCACAAAGGCATCATTGAATTGAAAACCCAGGTTTCCATTGCAAACCGATTTCAACAGAAAATTTTTGACTAGCTCTCATAATGAGCCTTCCTTTGTCTTGTCTGTTTAGATTGCAAGCTCTTTGAGGTAGGGACTGTCTCTGACTTTGTGTCCGTACAGCGCCTCGCACAATCGAGCCCTAGTTGCAGTTGAGGCCTCTAGGTGCTATTGCAATAATAATAATAATAAAAATAAGATCTAAGCATCATCATGATTTGGATCTGGGTACGTTGTGGATCCAGGTCTGTGCTAAAAGGGGAACCATGGGCTCACAGATTGTTTGCTTTGAGTTGAGCTAGAGACCACTTGATTCTTCCGTCAAGTCTAAGCTACGAAATAAGAGTGCCTTCCTTTTGTTCGGGTGAACTCACACTGCACTTTTTTTGTTTTTTTTAAACTTTTCATTAAGACAAGGTTACAAAAAAATGTTAACATACTACATCACTTATCTAGGCTCAGGTTAATATTCCCAAGAACCTGGCTAAAGGTTCTGCTCTGGAAGTAACCTCTGCTTGGAGACATCTTTCAGGGAGATAACTTGAATCTGAGGTATGGCTTGAGTCTAGTCCAGTACTACTTCAGAGACAGCAAACAGACTTCTGCTATTTCCTGACCATAATTTCTTTCCTGGCTTGCCTTCTTGAGCTAGAGTCTCTCTTGTGTGCTTGAGGAGGAACAAGATGACACAAAGCAAATTATCCAGCAGGATCAGGCAGAAATTAAAGCAGGCATTTCATAGCGTTTATTTTTAAACCATGGCAAGAAAATTGAGTTCTTCCTTTTTGAGACTCATTTCTCATCTAGCCATAGCAATTGCAATTAGGTGTATTTGAGGGGTGTCAGGCAGTTAATACAGATATCAAGTCTTTCATGTAACTTAGCATGGCTTTAGCTGGGAACAAACATGCTTTTGGTGTGTTAAACGAGCATTAAGAACCTTTGGCTTTCACTGCTTCCTTGGACTCACTGGTGTTTGTTAAGGGATTAATAAAATGCTGCTTTCATAGCCGAGTAATCAGGCTGACATGTGAAATTTATCTTGCTGTCCCATCACACTTGACTAGGTCCTACTGGAAAATGCAGTCACCAGCATAGCCCAAGCATGGCAAAGTCACATTTTCCCTCTTGCTGTACTGTGCGATGGAGTTGGTTTTTCTGAGAAGCCCACTGTGAGAGCAAGCAGAGTGCAAATGTGTCTGTAAACAATGGAGGCAGCAAAGTGACATTGGTAGAGCAGGAGATGGGGAGGCAGGATGCCTGGGTTCTAATCTTAGTTCTGACACTGACTCACAGCATGACCTTGGCCAAGTCACTTAATCTCTTTGTCTCAGTTTCTGCTACTGCAGAATTGGTATAATAAAACTGGGCACTTCAGAGGAGTTATGAAGCTGAGTTAACTAATTTCTGAGGGGCTTTGAGATCCTTACATGTGACTACAAAGTATTATTTTTAATATAACTGGCCAGAGTACTGGTTCATCCAAACAGCTTAAATCGAAGACACCACATCCTTCCAACAGCAAATAGTAGGGTTTGAAAATTTGGAATGGTGAGGGAATCTGAATGCTGATTGGCTGATGAGGATGTGTGTAGGATGCAGATGCCATGCAGAAATGCACTCTGCAGGGTACGCTGTGTGGGGTGGCATCAGGGTGCATTCTGCTTACTTCCTCATAAACTAGATTCAGCAATAATGGAGACTCAGAGGGATTCTCATGGAACATGAACAGGCATTTCATCCTAGTGAGTCTCAAGTCTCCTAGGCACTCTGGGCCACCATGGTGCATTGCTTTGAAAGCACAGTATGCTAGTCATGAACTACTGCCCTGCCTATAAGCCTATAACATCATCCAGCCCTTCAAAAAAACTGGGGCCAGTTCCGAGGGGCCAGTTCTCAATCAGAGTCTTGCCTCAGTCAAAAGAAAAGGAGTACTTGTGGCACCTTAGAGACTAACAAATTTATTACATTTGGCTCCAGAAGCCTGCAACTTTAGATTATCTTCAGAGTAAAGTTCAGCTCAGAATCCTGACCCTAATGCTCTCAAAGTGCAGGGATGTTTGGACCCATTGTAGAGACAGGGGACAACTGTCAAGTTCAGATCTGGCTCTGAACTTTCCCTAAGTTCCTTGCTGTTTCAATCTGGGGGTTTGATTCAAGCTCATCTCTAGTCCTGCCAGTTCCAGACAAAATGACCTTTGCATTGTCAAACCAATTCAGATGGGTAGCCCACTTGTCTAGTGGACTTCAGTCCCACTGCTGGACGTGCGGTAGTAGGGAAGAGAAAGGGGTGTTCACGTACATACTGTGAATGAGATGCTCAGTGGTATGGGCAGAGAATGGCCACGTGGCTAGTGCCCAGGACTAGGATCGGGGATCCAGCCACAGCTTTTCCCTGGGGGCCTTATGAACACCGTTGGCCTCTCTGTGCCTTAAGGACCTCAAAGGGAAGAGAACAAGGACAAAGCATCAGTGTTGTTCGAGGGCCCATCCCCACATCACAGGTGAGTTGGCCAGGCAGAAGAAGGTATTTTGAAATGCCTGGCAGATCACCCGAGCGCCCCAGCCAGCACTCCCTCGCCCCACACCAGGCTATGATGTGAGCCACTGCAGAACATGTGTGGAGCCTGCTGGGCCTGTCTGCATGATCCCTGCCCTGCCAGGCTCCAGCTCGTCATAACGTACAGTACTTCGGATGCTGTGGGCAGTATCAGGCACAGTCTGAAACCAGCCAAGTCTATTCTGTCGGTCTCGGAGCAGGGAGAAGGTTGTTGTCATGGGCCTGACCTCTGGTGTCCGATACGGTCAGTCCTGTTCTTTACCCTGAAAGGCCCTGTGATGCTCTCACAGAATAGCAGTAACCCTGTCTCTCTCTCTCTCTCTCTTTCTCTCTCTCTCCTCATTTAAAAGGGCTCGAGTGCCAGAGGCCAAAGCGTCAGAACTCAAGCGACGACATCGAGGTCCTCTCCACAGGGACCCCGCTCCAGCAAGAAAGCCCAGAGCTGTACAGGAAAGGCACCACCCCTTCTGACCTCACTCCCGACGACAGCCCCCTGCAAAGCTTCCCCGCCAGCCCCTCCTCCACTCCGCCGTTGGGCCCCACCTGCAGGACCAAGAGCGCCCATTTCTCCAGGCAGGTGTCGGTGGACGAAGAGAGGGGTGGGGAGATCCAGATGTTGCTGGAGGGACGAGGCGGAGACTACTTGAGACCCAACAGCTGGAGCGAAGACCAAGCAGGCGGGACGCGTGGCGTTAGAAGCGGGACCCTGCGCAGCAGTCATTTGGGGTCTGCCTCCATCCCTGAAGATTACGGAGGCCGGAGTGGAGGGCACAAACATAAGGCCTCCAACCACAAGCAAAGAGAGAGGTGGACAGATTCCCCAGCTGCAGTTTCTTGGACTTCCCACCACAGGTCCCACAACCAAAGCTCAGGGAGTGCCAAGCTGCTTGAGCTGGATGAGGAGAAACTGAGCAATTACGAGATGGAAATGAAACCCCTCATGAGGATGGATTCTTACATGCAAGAGTTTCACACCCAAAAAAGACACTATAGTAAAGCAGGCGCCTGCAGGAGCCTGGCTGAGGACCACCGTGGGGAAGACCGGGGCTTTCGGGTTCAGAGACTGAGGTCTAAGTCCCAGAACAAAGAGAATTTCAGGCCAGCTTCCTCTGCTGAGCCCACAGTGCAGAAACTGGAAAATCTGAGGTTCGGGGACAAAGCGGAACCCCGGCTATTAAGGTGGGACTTAACCTTCTCCCCGCCACAGAAATCCTTACCTGTTGCACTAGAATCCGAGGAGGAAAATGGGGATGAGCTCAAGTCCAGTACGGTAAGTAGACAAACTTGTGTCATTGAACCTGACTCAGGAAGCAGATGCCAAGGCAAACCTGAGCTGGTTCAGAACCGTTGCAATGTTAGAAAGGTGTGGAAGAAAATTTACACCATGAGAAAAACTGCCCCCCCCCACAACCAACCACCTTTAGTACCTTAAATTCCCCCCACCTCCCATTCTACACAAGGTATCAAGTACATTGAAAGGTGGTTTTTGCAGCTTGCTTTACTGGCAAAATGTCTCTGGGGAAATGGCAAGTTTTCCACATTAGGTGTTGGAGGGTATAAGCAGGGAAATGTGATTTATTACAAGATAAAATTTTGTGACAATTAAATCCCAGCAGGACTCAGACTTGATCAAATGTATGAATCGTTGCAAACCACCCTCCCTCCACCCAATAAAAACCCAGCACCCTCAGAAAGGACAAAATAATTATCAGGTTCCTGCCCATATGAAAATTCACCCAGCAAAAAAGTGCAGGTCCATGCAGCTCTTGTTGATACCATTTTATCGCTAGGCCTGGCAAAGCCTTGTTTTGGTCCAACAATATGAAATAACCCAGTTGCAACATCTCTGTATTTGAATCTTTACCTCATGCCACTGCAACAGTGTACCGTGATGTTATGTCACTGCAGCACAGTGTATCACCAAGTGTGATGCAATGTTCTTGTGCCATAGTGATGTTGCATTGCAAAGCCTGAAACGAATGGGATCCTTTAATTGTGCTATACGACAGTCATGGAAGAGGCCCAAGAAAATTAGGACTGTTCTCTGAATTTCTGGATAAGGGATGATCCAGATTCTAGTTTAACTCCTGGGAGTGAGCTGCATAGCACTAAACACAATAGAAGCCACTGGGAGCGTGTAGGTGCTTTGTCTGGCCCTAAATATCTGCAGGGAGCAGGGCCTAAACAACTGATCTGTTAGCACCAATGCACAGGGCTCTGTCACAGGAGCTAAAGGTGAAATCCAGCCCTTGTTGTGGGCTAGGATCTAGCAGGTGACGTTACTTATGCACACAAACTCAGTACATCATATACTCCCCCAGAGTTAGACAAGCTTCTGCAGTTCACAGGAGTTGAACCCAACCTATGTGCTGGAGACATAGTTACGATATAGATCACACACACAGGGAACTGGCGCTCAAACCCTGGCTTCAGATCTAAGCAAACATTAATACAGGACAGTTATTACTGACTAACTAGCAGGCACAGCCTGCATGTAAAGATGCACAGACAAGCCATTAGAATGCACATCATATTTCTAAGTGCTATAACTGTGAAGCAGCATGTTTGGTTTTCTCACATTCATAACCAAGGGTGGAACAGATGGCGAAGGTTTGAGTTGAAGTTAATGAAATACAGAGTGATAGATGATATGTGGATTTAAATAACCCATGTTGCTGGTGACTCTTTGTTCTAGAAAGAGTTTTCTGCATTAACAGGGTTTGGTTCCAGTGGCATGGACAGGGAGGGAGTAATCAGAAAGAGCTTGTTGAGCGAGTATATCTAGGACACAAAGCATCACCCATCCACAGCATAACAACAAGACAATGTTGCATACATATAGCATGTTGCACCTTCAAGGATCTCCAAACACTTCACCAACATTAGTGAATTTAGCCTCACTATACCCAAAGGTAGCCGTGTGTGATTAGCTCCATTTTACAGATGGGAAAACTGAGGCACAGAGCAGTTAAGCCCCTTGTCCAAGATCACACAGTGAAGCAGTATCAGAACCAGGAAAAGGACATAGCACCTTTTAGCTCTGTGCCGTCAGAGCCACAGGGTTCATGAGTGGGAACCCCAAACCTGTGCAAAGCATTGCCGCTCTGGACTTCCCAGACAGGCATTAAGTTTTTCAAAGCAGGTTTAAGTCCATCCAGCCTCCCCAGAGCACAACTTAGAATGCCAGTTTTAGACAAGCCTTCCTATTTCCAGCAGGCTGCCTCCAGCACGTGGGCAGTCCTGATGCAGAGCCTCCTGGCAGAGAGGTTTTGCAGAACGCAAACCACAGCTCCTGCAAAAGTCTGTGCGCTCCCACACAGCGGACAGCTTGCACAGCGGCCCTGCTTTTCTGCCATGCCCAGCGTTGTCGTTTGTGAAGCTGTTTGCTGAAAAAGACATTTCTCATCTCAAAGACAACTGGGTTGCTTCCGAAAGTGGAAGAAAGGGAGGCTGTTAGCTGGGCAGGTCTGTTTTTGACCTACCTGGAACATCCTTGAGCATCACTCTTGCAGGACAAGCGGTTTTAAAAATAATCGACCATAAACCAGCTCAACAGGAGCCACTATTGAAACCAGAATACTGGCTCCTAGTTGCAGTAGCGTCTCTCCTCTGGGTGATCAGTCCAAATCCAGCCCCAGCGCAGTAACGACCACAAGTAATGACCATCCAATAGTTATTATGTGCCCTATGTGAAGTGAACAGGGTGGGTTCAGGTCAGTTCCCAGCGAAGCCATTATCACAGCTGGCATTAGTCCCACCCCTTGTTATTAGCATTATAGGAGCGCCCAAGGCGTTGAAATGCTGTGGAGGCGGTGCCTTCCCTCTAGATGTGATCCCTCCAGGCCAGGGCTGAACAACCGGCGAGGGGAGGAAGAGGTTGGGCAGCATGCGCTGCTTTGGCATGTGCTTTCTGTGAGTAGTCAGGGGATTTCAGTCTTCAGGGCTCTCAAGCCAGTACTCAGTTCATATGAAAAATTTAAAAGAAAAAGTAAAAAAAACCCAAACCTTGATGTTTCTGTGTGTGTGTGGACCTGCACACCCAGAACAAACTCACATCAACATGCAGCAACTTGCCACCATTTGGGCACAGGACTATGGACATGGATGGGCGTGTACTGGCTCCTGTATTGTCAGGTTGCGGGGACTGTATGATGCAGAAATCTGTCCTACGTTTGAGTGGTCCATCGCTTTCTGTAGCCTCTGGACCAGTCTTTGAAAAAGAGAACTAATCTTTGGGGAGGTATGGAGGAACAGAGTCTTTAAAATGCCAGCAGCCCTTTTACTCATCAGCACAAAATTCATCATGTTTTTAGGGAGGGGAGAATAAATACATGACTTGAGTTGCAAAGGGGCTGAACAGCTGCATCTCCCAGGCAAGCTAATGAGTGTTGTGGGACCTCAGTCAGGCCAGAATTCAGACATGAACTGATACCAGACAGTTTCATTAGATTATCGTAATTTAGCAGGAGTGCTAGCAGAGGGAGGGGATAGCTCAGGGCTTTGAGCATTGGCCTGCTTAAACCCAGGGTTGTGAGTTCAAGCCTTGAGGGGGCCATTTAGGGATCTGGGGCCAAAAATGGGGATTGGTCCTACTTTGAGCAGGGGGTTGGATTAAGATGACCTCCTGAGGTCCCTTCCAAAGCTGATATTTTATGATCACATTTATTTAGATGAAGCGATTACAGGGACAAATTCCGGTCTCAATGAAGTCTATGACAAACCACCTGTTGATTTCAGCAGGACGAACAGTTGGTCCTTTGACGTTCTCCTTTCACAGATGTTCATTAGAAAAGCCCTGTCCACTTTTGGGTACAATCCATGCTACCAAAAATCTGTGTTCACCTCTAACACATTTCCCCTCACCCCCAGATGTTGTCAGATGCAGCTTTGGTTTTCTCAGTTATTCGCTAAAATCCTGTCTTATTTCAGACAACTCAAGGACAACTCTTGTTATGGGAGCTTTGTTTGATTAGACCACAGAAATGTCCCTGTTCAATTTCAACGACCAGCAAGGCATTATAAACAGAAAGAGAAAAATTCCAGTGGCCGCCGGGTTTTGTTTTTTTAAGAGACTCATTCTCTATTGAGATATCCTAAGCATGTTTCACTGTCATCAGGGAAAGTGAAAGGGAGCCAGCCAGCCTGTAATTAGCACGCCTCTGCTGAGGTATCACAGTGGAAGTGATGAGGGTGTCAGCGAAGGCTGCTTGGCCAGGTATTGAGCCAGGGGGAGGATACCTGAGGGAAGAAGGTGATATGAGTCAATGCTTAAAGGGGGAAGGAAGCAGGGCGGATGAAATCCAGCAGCTCTCCCCAGAAATAGAACCTCCCGGCCTACGTAGGTGACAAATGTTCCTTTCTCAGCTCTTTCAGGGGCTTTCAAAGCATTTTAAAGGGATTGCACCTCAGGATGGAGAAAATGTAGTCACCTTGAGTCCCAAAGAATACAAAACAAGTGATAAAAATAGCGACCGGTTGCTGCCTCCGTAATGAACTAACACCCACTCCCTGCGCCAACAGAGACTCTTTCCACCTGACGTTTAGGAAGACGGGCGACTGAGAGCGAATCTCTCCTAGCGGCTGCTTGTAAAGGGCTCTTCCCACCCCCAGCTCCCGCTGTCATTTGGCAGGTTGGGCTGGTCAACGCGAACATTGTTTGGACTCTGAATGGCTGTTCAGTTCACCCACATTTGTATCTCTGCCTGGGCCTGATCCAATGCCCTTTGAAGTCTAGGGAAAGACTTCCACTGTCTTCCAGGCCATTGGCTTAGGCCCCTTTTCTGCTTTACACTGGTGTGAATGGGGCTTATCTGCATATCTGGGCAATGGGGTTCCTGGGGTCTTTCCATATTCAGGCCTTGATCTTAGCCTTCCCAGACCTCCTGTCTCACCACAGCCTTTTGCCACAGCCCTCTCTCAAGGTGACTTCCACAGCACCACACTTCATGTCTGAGGTCTCCCTCCCTAGAGACACTCACAACAGGTCCAATGTCTCCCTAAGCACTCTCTTTACTGACCATATATATATAGTCCGGCAGCCACTTGATTCCTGTCATCTGTTCCTGAGATGACCACGTATTAGTCCCGTTAGATGACATCCCCCAGAATGCCCTGGTTTAGGGCTAAGCCAGGACTGGTCCATGCTTGCCTATCACCTCCCTTTAAAGCCAGTGGATAACTATGTCACAGTGACTATACACAACAAACTGTAAAATTATAAAATCACAGAAACGTAGGGAGGGACCTCAAGAGGTCATCTAGTCCATCCCCATATGTTGAGGTAGGACTAAGGGTATTTAGACATCCCTGACGCATCTGCCTAACTTGTTCTTAAAAACCTCCATTGATGGGGAGTCCACACTTAACTTCTTTCACTGCTTAACTGTCCTTAGAGTTAGAAAGTTTTTCCTAATACCGAACTTAAGTCTTCCTTGCTGCAAATTAAGCTCATTACTTCTTGTTCTCTCGTCAGTGGGCATGGAGAATTGTCCATAAAATTATCCATAAACTGCCTCTGCATAAAGTGATGTCAAATGCACAGAGCAAACACATTTGGGGGTGGGTGGGTGGCAAGGAAATACTATTTTTTCCTCTAATCTCTTTCATGTACAGCCATCTCAGGGATTACTTTAACAACTCTAGGTAAATAGTTTTCAGACAGAAGTGTTATGTTCAACTTGACATTGTCCTTTCAAAACCCTTTTGATATCAGGAGGCCTTTGATGTAGCTGAAGGATTTAGCCTCATTTTTATTGTCATCCTGTATGTGTTTTAGTCTTTTTGAAGTGAATATTTAAAGATGGGCCTCACCCAACCCCCGAACTATGAATACTCCCCACCACCACTGCAACTACGCAATAATTAGGATCAAAATCTGGATCTCAGCTTTGTGGCTGGCTCCCTCTCCTGATAATTCAGCCAACTAAAATCCTGGATCACCCCCAAACTTCGGAAACATTGGCATTTGGATCTAGAACCTGCAACTCACACCCAGCTCTACAGCTCTTCATAACGTGGGCCCATAAGTCACGCTGGCAGAATGTGCAGGTGCACTAATACATATAACCCTCATAAGTAGGATGGAATTACATTGCGTCTGCAAACACACAGACACACAAAATTCACAGGTACAATTTAGGAATGCGTGTTTGAAAATGTAGCCCCTTAATCGGTTCTTGTTTTATTGTAAAATCTCCAAGCTGGTTTTCTTTAGCTAGGCACTATGTAAATAAAATGTATTCTCACACACACACACAAATGCATATTATGTAAGGCCCTTGTCCTGTGATGTGCTGACTTCATTGGGACTTGAGGGTACTCAGCACCTTGCAGGATGGGTCCCGTCCCCCCCCCACACACACACACACACAAATAAATAGCTGTCATGGCTCCAGGGCTTAATCCCTAAGGGCTGATGAAAGTCCACGGGAATTTTTTCTGAGTGAGGACTGAGGATCAAATTTCTATTATCTCTACATTCTGACTATCAGCGTCTACTACTTACACGGCATCCGTTACTTCTGGAGAAGCACACCGATTCACCATACCCCAGCCTTCACATACAGCCCTTCCTGTAACCAGGCAAGAGAGATGATGCAGAGGCTCCAAGAAATACGCAAGAGATCTTGCTATGCCAAGCTATTAGTCTGGGAGGTGCTCAGACACTAAGGTGATGGGCATCAGTACAGATCCCATAGAACGGCAGACAGTGTTTCTTACCGAGACCATAAACCACAATGGATCCACTTGCCATCTAACTACGCCCTGCTGCAGTATTATATGGCTTTTCAGTAATGCCCTATTTTATTGTGCACTGGCACCAAGTGACTGCTTCTTTTATGTAACTACATTGGGGGCCAGATTCTCTTCTTGGTTACTCCTGTGCTCACTTACTGGGGTCCCTCTTTGCACAGGTGTCAATGAGAATTTACCCCCATGTTTTACTTGGTAAATGCTCTTTAACTATTTAGCAGTGACATGTTCCTATAGATTGCATGGGGGCTACTATTCAGCAACAACGACATCCAGCTGCTGATTTTTCAGCATTTTCCCAGTGCTGAGGCTTTCTGCTGAGCAGCATCCTTGATAATTACACTAAAGAGATCCCAGAAGGATTCCTAGGTAACCACACTACAGTTTCCATGGCAGAGATAACAAAGGTCGGACTCTGTGATAACAAACAACAATGGATTGTTCATATTTTAATTAACAATGCTGTGGTTTTATTTGTGAGGTACACCTCCCTGGCCCCCCATATTCCCAGTAAGACACTTGGGTTGCTGTATAACAGTTAGACACAAACAGGATAATGAGACAGAAATTATGGTGCTTAGATACTACAGTGACGAGATTATTACTACATTGATGCTAGAGACAGATTGGAAACTACATTCAAAACATAAAGCTTCCCAAAATATTTATGATTAATTATTATTTCATTGCAGGGGTCCATTTTATTTCTTACAGAGCATCACTCTTGATCCACATCCCCAGTGCCCAGGAAGTCATGAATTTAAAAGCTAAGGACCTGATTGTCACTAAAGCCCATTTACACCTCTCTGGCAATAATATAATTTACCCCTCCTTCCATGCCCCTTTACACTGCCAGGGAGAAGTAAAGAGGCCTTCGTATAAGAGCGAATCAGCCCCTGAGCTGCTCAGCTGCTTCATCTTCTTGCTGAAATTTACCATCCCCAGTGTGGAAAGGCGAGTGAGTGAAAGGAGGATCCATATAATAATTCCCTTCTGAGGATGTGGTCAGCCAGCTATTCACCCTGCATGTAGTTACACTGCTGCTTCGTGGTAGAGCAGAGTCTGGAAATCTGTGCATTGATGCTGGGCTGCGGAGTGAAATTTTGAAACTATGCCCTGACTTTACAAGGGATTGGGACTGGAAATTATAAACAACCCCTTGCAGCTCCTGGTGTCACTGCCTAGAACCAGCACATCTCTCTCTACCGTTCTTCGCAGTGGCTCTTTGTAGGCGCTGGGATAAAGTACTCTGCCCTCAAATGACATGTGAGCCCTAGCTGCAAAACAGCTCAGGCTCTGAAGGCCCATCCCCCCCGAAGTCTGCAGGCGTGTCAGTCCCAGGTTTTGATTTGGGCTTTTCTCTGAATCGAATGATCAGTTACCAGATAGCTAAAGTGGGGCAAGAATTAAATAAAATGCCACTGAACGGCTAGAACTGTGTGTGGCATCTCAAATCACAGGGCCTCAAAGTAAAAGGGATTTTTTCTTTTGTCTCAATATGGGTTTCCCTTGTTAAAGGTCCAGCATGGTCTACAGTACAGTGAAGTCACTTTATCTGCTGGTTCTAAAACGTTCACGGGAGTTTACCAACCTGTTGCCAGCTTGAGGACAGGCCTGAATTTCCTCCAGGGCTCACTTGCCTCAGAGTGTTTCATCTTCCTCCAGGGCACCAAAGAGGAATCAGGAAAAGATGACACATATCCCAGGATAGTCAGCTTCCTGTGACTGCAGGGGACAGGAAGGGGATACGTAGACCTTTAGTGGAAGTTCAAGCACAATGCTGTCGAATCAGAAGCCCAGGCATAAGCAGCATTTAAAAGTTTACAATTGGAGTTGAAGCAAAAGCTCTGAAAGGTCACAAAACTTTTTATTAGACTAGCTAGCATATTATCAGAAATCTGGCCCCTCTGCTAAGACATTCCAACGCCTTTACAATGGGTGGGCCATTCCCAGCGGAGAGATCACTACATGCATAATCCTCTTTGGAGTTAGCTCAGGAGGGGTAGAGAAAGGGCAAATGTGAAAAGCAAAGAGAAGCTGTAGGCTGAAAGAATGTCAGACATCAGCTGCCCCCTTTGCAAGGAATCCCCAGAGACAACTGCACACGCAGAGGTAATTTTTAAACTCAGCTCACCTGTTCCACAAGCTCACAGACCTCTCACGGGCATGACTTTGGTATCCCAGCACACACGTTAAGGGCCTAATCCTGCAGCCTCTACTTGGGTAAAATTCCAGTCGACTTTCCATTGAACTCCATGATTGCCATGGGAGTTTGCTCTCAGGAAGGATTGCAGGGTTACATTTTCTCGCATTTAAGAGGGGAAAGTTGTAGTGACCAGAGAATTAAGAAATGCTTAGGCTAGCCACATCTGGTCCTGTTCTACAACTCTGTTCAGCAATGAGACAGAAGCACAGAGAGGGTACCACATGCCATCTGCCTGAGCAGCATTCAGGCTGGCTGGCATGTAAGTTTGCCTCTTGTATGTGGTTAATTTGATCTACTAGATCGAGCACACGAATAGGAAAAGGGGCAGAAACACTGTCACTTGGGACATTTAAACGGTGACTGGACCAAAGGCTAGAGAACGTGCACTAGGGAGCCATCCTGCACTGGCTGATGAGTGGCTGAGACCCAGTGGGTTTTTGCATCACTGTGCTACCCTGCCAGCAGAAACAACCAAACTGATAACCATCAGCAACCTATTATCCTATTGATCCAAGGGGAAAGCATGTGAAACCCAATAATCTTTTGAAATGGAGCTAGTACTGTGAATAACAATCTGCATCACAGTATTTAGCCTCGCTCCAACTTGGCAGCAGGCAGAGAAGGAATTCGGCACCCAAAAGGGTTGGCTACAGGCAAAGAGATTTGCACAAACCAGTCCAGAGCAGCTACCTGGCTGCCAGGAGGCTCCCTCAGAAATCCTTCCATTTGGTCGGCTTCCTTTGACCTCGTTGCTACGCAACAGCATATGCCTTTCCAGCAAGCTTGAGCTTTTCAAAGGCAGAGTCCCCATCCTCCCTGTCCTCCTTCCCCTGGGCCCCCGCCTCCCCAGATGTGAAATGAATCAAGCAGCTCCAGAGGAGAAATGATCTCTGTCTCGCAAGGAGGTTTTTAAATAGATCTGCACTGTGGTATGAAGACTGGCTTAATGAGGGCATCCACCCCTGCCTTGTTCCAACCGGAATGGGCAGATGAGCCTTGTTATAATGAAGAAGGGAGGGAAGGAGGGAGAAGCAGGGAACTAATTGCGCCATTTCATGAAATAAACAAATCTGTATAATTAAAAATGACTATGAGTGGGGGCCATTCAGGGCCTCCGGCTGTCCTACTGTGTATCCCATTCCCTGTGCTACCCAACTGCAGCAGCTGAGACAAAGGTGCCGGCTATTCCATCCAGTGCCCGCCACCTCCCATTCAGTTTTGCATTCTAGCCTGCCCCAGTACTTGGATTCTTCCGAACCATGTTGGTCGAGGCAAGCAGCAGTCCCACTCAGAGGCTTAGCATTCAAAGAGGGAGCAGCAGCCTAGCGTGCCAAGCACAGAAGACTGATGTCCCAGCGCTGGCCCACCTCTAGGGTGTGTTGCACGCTGCACGGGAGCTCACACTTATTAGACAACCGACTCTCTGAAGAGACCACCCCAAAGTGCCCCAAAGCGTAGTGAGTACCATTCTGCACCATCTTTTTTCCCTTTTTTCCCCATCGTCACCTCAGATAGGCACCTGGTTTTAGCTGGTCCCTTAAGGCAAGACTCACTGTGTACATGACAGGAGGGAATCCAAGCTCAGGTGCTATCCTCACTTATTGATCCACCAGGTATACGCTTTCTCGGTCAACCTCCCATCATGGTCACAACTTGGCACCAATGCACTGGATTGCTCCAATGCCCCCCTTTGAGAACCGAATGAGGTGTGTCGTGCTCTATCTTTAGTCCATCAGCTTTGTCCTCACTCCACCGTAACAAGGATAGGACTGCCGGGGGCTGCATTTGGCCCGTGGGGTGCACAGCGCTTGCCCCTAACTGAACATAATTGGTTTATTTCACGAAGACAATGACAACGAGCTCCTCTGAGGTCTCAGAAGCTGCTTTTGCACTGAATTGTACACGGACAAAAGCCAGGTGAGGTAGAGATCCTATGGTTAAAACAAAGTCCTAGGAGTCAGGACATCTGGGGTCATTTCCTGGCTCTGCCACAAAACCTGCTGTGTGTCTCTGTTTCCTCAGTGTAGAATCCGTACCGGCCTCAAAAAGGTGACAGTGAAGCAAAATTCACTAACAGTTGCAAAGTGCTTTGAAATTCTTGGATGGAAGGTGCTACTTAAGTACTACTTACCCCTCCCTCAACCTGTTTTGTCTCATGCATAGAGGTGCCCATAGCTTCAGTGGAAGTTACTGGTGCTCTGCACCTCAACAAACCATGCCTTGCCGGGTTATGGTATAATTACAGATTCTGACCCTTCCTACCAACAGTTGGCTAACCACCAAATTTCGAGATGGTTTGTAACTCCTTTCCTTCTCTTTCTCTGTTCCAGGGCTCGGCTCCCATTCTGGTAGTCATGGTGATCTTACTGAACATTGGCGTCGCCATTTTGTTTATTAACTTTTTCATCTAATTGAGACTGTCTTGTTTGAAAAAATAAGAGTTACGTGTACGAACGGGGGAAAAAAACCAAACAAAAACAAATCAAAAAAAGGGAAAGATCATGACTTGAACCATCCTGTGACAACTTCCAAGTCTTTTCACAGAAGAACAACAAATGATTGAGTCTCACTCACAGTTTGCCTTTTTTTCCTGGGTAATGTTTTTTGGATTTTAGCCAAAATTCTTTGCTTGTACAACACTATGCTGTGTGGCATGGCAGAATGCTAACAACTCTATGACCCTCCCAGCACCAGAAAGGATGAGACAGGATCCCAGCAAAATAAGAGTCAGTTATTTTTTCCCCTCCAAAGTAAATAAAGAACAAAACTGGCAAAATGGAGGTAAGAGGGTGGGCAGATGGAACAGGGACGCAAAGGGGGTTGAATGAGTCTCTGGTGTAAACACTCAACCCCATTGTTGTGAAGTTGATGGGGGGGGGGAATCCCCTTTCACCCATCCTCTTCTAACCCCCCTGCCACAAAAAAAAAAACCCTCACATTTTTCTTCCCTTCTCTGCTACCAGAAAAAAAAAAAAAAAAAGCAGGAATGAGGAGGAGAAAAAGAGGTGCTTGGGGAAGGGGAAGAGACCCCCCCTGAGTACAGAGGATGAAAGGAAAGTGGCCCATTTTTGTTACAGTTTAAAAAAATTCTGAAGCAATCAGCATTTTGCTCAGTTCTGGTGTGGTGGTGGTGGGAATTACAAGGTGTAAATATCATACCTGCTGGCACCCTCCTGTCCTCACTCGGCCAGAGCAAAACCGCCCAAAGCCACCCTCTTTCCGTTCAAAGCTGATTTCTCCTAGCTACAAATCTGCCCTCCCTCCACCCCTCCTCACCCCATAAATTGCCTGGTAGCTTATTACAGCCCAAATTCCGCCCCCCAAACACCCCCACACACCCCCAGGAGTGGTGATACTAAAACAATCACCAGCTATCCCATCCTGAACTGCAACACCCCTACACAAACACACCAGCGCTTACAGAGAATGCAAGGAAGCTGTCCGGTGGGAGATTTGATTCTGATCTAGCAAAGGACATCTGGGGAGGAGCACTGGAACAGCTGCAGGAGCGGAGGAGAGCAGCTGGGTATGCTTGTTACATCTTGCCATGGACCGCTTCAGACATCATGCTTGGGCTCTGAGCATGTCGTATTTTTGCACTTTGTATGCAGGATATATATTCCAGCTTCCGACATGTCCCTGTAAAAAAATGTCATTGGCAACAGCAGCCTCTAAGGATGTATTCTTTTCTATACGTCACTTAATTTTGTTTGTTTTAACATCTTCGTAATGGAAGTGGCCTACTGAGGTGCCTTCCTGTCCTACCCTTCTATGAGTCTATGCCTGCCTTGATTTTTTCCCCACCCTTTCCTCCCCGATAATACACATTCATTAAAGATGCAGTACCCCAGTCCTGAGCTGTTATGGTCGCAATGACAAGAGCATGGTTTTAGCTCAGTTGCTTGGAAATTCCTGAAGTCCTGTTACATTCCAAAAACAATTTAACTGTTTTCCCTGCCCACCTCCATCCCCAAGACCACATGCAGTCTGTCCTTGCCGGATAAGTCAGCTGTGCACTTCAAAAAAGTTAACTGCCTCTCTCTGATACAGTACATATTGGAACCTATCTGACCCACAATTACACCCACTGCAAATCCATTGGATAAAGGGGGGAAGGGGGTCTTGAGGGTCAGATATGGCCCGTATACAATCCTCTAGATTTTATCTGTGACCAAATCCGTCTCATCATTTTACATACAGAGTGTTGGGCACAACCCTGACTTGTGGACTTGGCTTTGCTTTGCTTACATTTTATCTGTTTCTCTGCTACCTTTTTAGCAGATTTCTTTATTACACTGCACTGGATTGCTATATTTTTAACCAGAAATAAACTAAAGATTAGTGCATGTGCCAGTTAAATTCAGTTCTTTTCCTTAAACTGCCACGCTCATTCTCTCTTACCATTTTCTTTCCTTTTTTTGTTTGTTTTCCTTTCTGGGTTGAGGGTGTGGGATGGAAGGAATGAAAGGCAGATAATGCAAGCCTAGTAACCTTTCTGATAATTTTGTTTCCAGGGGAACAGTCCATCTTTTTGGTCCATCTTCATTTTTTTCCCCATTCATCTTTTTTAATATTGAACGGTTGCTGCAGACCTTAAGTGAACCAAATAACGACATAATGTAATTGCAGCCCTAGGAAATCATACATGCTGCGATATGTGTTTTGTAATTCTGTTTGCAACTCTTTGTAAAGATTCTAGAGAACTTTTTTTGTACATTCCAGTAAGTGCATGACACACAGATACCTACAGAAGTAGGTTACATATTTAAATGCAAACACAGTACAATATTTAGATATGTATAAAACAGCACAAAAATGCATATCATTATCAAATAAAAGTACTAGTGGTTTCATGACTAGGTTTCTCACACTGGTGACTGACTAGTTATTACTGCTTTTCTTGCAGACTTCCAAGGAATCGATATACGGCTACCCCAAATTCAACCTAACTCCATTTGTCTTTCATCTCTTGGTTTCTCCCTTTGAAGCACCCGGCCTCGGCCACTGTCAGAAGACAGGATGCTGAGTTAGATGGACCATTGGTCTTACCCACTATGGCTGTTCTTATGTTCTAGTTTCCATGGGACTAAGATTCAGTGGGTCTGAAAGACATCTGAAGAGTAATATTAATTGGTTCCCAAACAATGTGATTAAAAATAATGATCCCTTGATTAATCAAAGTGAGTTGAGCAATTTGTCTTAGCTCTGTGCTTTCACATCCACCCAGAGCCAAAAATATTATTGACAAGTAGCCCATTGTACTCATTGTACCTCATAAGTACTGTGTTCACGGCCCTCTCTCTCTCTCTTCGGCATGTCTAAGACATGCAGCACCATAGTATCTAGACACCACATCCACATATACTCTCTCTCCACGCTGTTTTACATGTATACTCAAATGTGTAGCTAGACAGATGCATGCAAGCAGCTGTGCGATTCTGAAGACAATTGACTTTGCTTTTCAGTCTTAGGGATCTTCTCATTTTCCTAAGGAGAAAGTTGCAGCTATTTATAACCAATCCAACCTCATGTCCTGAGGGCTGGTTCCATGTGTGTTGTACTGGTGACCCCCTTTCACACAGCAAGCCTCTGGTGCGACAGCCCCCACCCACCCTTATAAATTAAAACCCTTTTTTTATATTTAACAGTATAAATGCTGGAGGTGAAGCAGGGTTTGGGGTGGAGGCTGACAGCTCATGACCCCCCATGTAATAACCTCATGATCCCCTCAGTGGTCACAACCCCCAGTTTGAGAACCCCTGTGTTAGAGGATAATTGGTTACTTCCTGTATCTGTCAAGTGTTTTAACACCACGGGCAATTTTTAAATCACGATTGGATGTTTTGTTAAAAGCTCTGGGGGACGTTCATCTGGTCTGACCTCCTGCATAACCCAGACGAGAGATCGCAATGGTCCCTTCCGGCCTGCAAGTCTCTGAACAGGATCTTCTTTGTCAATGTCAAATATACACATGCACACGCTCACTCTTTTCCGGGTCCTACCCTCGATCTGTATGGAATGGACTTCTGCTGTGCAGATAGTATGGAATGCAGGACTACGCTACACTTTCTCGAGGACAAGCTGACATTGAGTTAAGGAGCTCCATAGCACTGAAGTCAGAAGGTTTGGCCTTCCAAGGAAGCGGACATTGCAGTGTTATCCTTTAGCTCTGGTTTCTTGCCTTGTGTTGTTGTCGAGGGGATGCTGTCTGGAGACACTTGAAATCAAACACAAGGAGTAGATTACTTGGCATAAGGACAGAGATGCTGAGACGCGCAGCTAATGCTGGTTTACTGCAAGAAAGGTACCATCCCTAAGCGCAGCCGCAAAAGCAGATGCGTGAAATCCCTGCGCCACAGCCATGTGACATGCAATGAAGGCACATATCAGAGTTGGAGCGGGACTGGAATGCACAGCGTGGCCCAAAAAGAGCAGACACAAGGATAAGTCAGGGGGCCAGAAAGCAGCATTTGGTTTGCAGCCAATAAACACTCGTGAAAAGGAAGTGCTAACAGCACAGGTGGAAGAAGAGATCTCATTCAGATCTGAGGAAGGAAGCACAGGTGAGTCAGCAAGGTATCCAGACAAGCTGAGGAGATAAACTTTACGTGGTGCTTGAGACATTCAGAAAGAGCACTGAGCATCATGGAGGTACATGTGGGACCGCGGGGGCAAGCCTTGCTGTCAATGACCTAAGTTACAGGGAAGCTAAGCGCGCTCCAGCAGTGCAGCCTCGGTGGCAGGAGGCGCATGCCTGATCACGCACTGAGCGCTCGCTCCAGCACCCGTGACCCCAGGATGCCACTTGCCAAGGCATTATTGGGGGCTGATTGTCAGCATGGAGTCAAATGGTGCCGCATGAAAAATCAGGCCCTTCCTTAGCATGCAGGGTTTGTAGGAAGGTGATGACGGAGAGAGATCAGGAAGGAAGGAAGGACTGCGAGGAGAAATGATCCGCAGGACTTCGCCATGATGTGTAATCTGACACCTACAATGTGGCAGAAGCTGTTGGGGACCCATCACTCTGAGAGGTTCTGGTCTGGGTGGTTTACATTGCCATGAAGATTGTCGATCTGTCTGTCTCTCACACACACACACGCCTCTGACTGCGAGGATGATGCTGTGTGCCTCACTCACTTACACATCTTCCATACATCCAAGAGAGAGCGTGGGTGTATAAGCTCCATCAATACATTTCTATACAGTGCATCCACAATACAGATGCATCTACCTGATTACTTTTATCTCCCAATTTGGATGAAACACAGAGCCAAGGTCCCGATCACTTGTCATTAAAAATCCTTTGGCCCCATTTTCAGGTGTGTAAGCACCAGTGGCTTATCAAAGCACTGATCCCCCTAGATTGACTTGTTTTAACCGGATCTGGTTTTCTTCTTAGCAGCCATTATGCAGCAGGATAGAGACAGGAAGCGGTGTCTTGCCCCAGAAGTGGCTGCATGTTGGTGCCAGGTAAAGTGATCCTGCTGAGACTATAGGGAAAAGCAGTTTGAGGCTTTGGAAAGGCACCAGCGAATCAGAATTGATGGCACCAGTAATTCCACTGTTGCACGCCAGCCTCCCCGCCTCTCCGCATCCTGACAGCATCTCAGAATGCAATTCTCTTGGTTAGCTGTAACGCTGAGGCATTCTGCTCTAGAGATGGGGGTCAGGACAGCCACTGGGCCCATCTCCACCTAACAGGTTGATAATAAGCAGAGCTTCTTGACATGAACTAAAATAGTTGATGAGCTTCTGCAGCCCGAGGCCTGCATTTGTGAAAACCTTTGTGTTCTTGTCCTTCCCTTCTTGCTGAGAGGCCTGGCAGCTCAAGGTTTTCTCCATTTGACACATACCAGCAGGGCCCATCAATGGTACTCAGTGCGGGCAGGACGGAGGTCACTTCTCAAAAGCCTGCACGTGGAAAATATGTCCAGATTCAGCCCAGATGAGGTGGGTGAGAACCAGAGCAATCCAGCCCCTGGCGCCAGGAAATGCCAACAATGTCCCTCTGCAGGAAACACCACACAGAGGGAAGGAAACACCTGTTGAATTGAGCTAGTTGGGAATTCTCCACTGAGACTTTGTTTTGTCCATAAGAAAATGCCGATTTGTCAAAACTGAAACTGTTTGCCAGAAAAGTCTTCCAACTGGAAGAAATTTTGGTTTCAGAGTGGTCAAAATGGTGTATTTTGACATTTTCAAAGTGAAAACTTTTGAAATGACTGAAGCAAAACATGTCAACTGACCTTATCCAAACTTTTGTTCAGACTAGGGCTTTGTGAAAATTTTCTAGATTAATTTTTTTTCATGATCCTGGAACGAAAAAAAAAAACTCTCACTCTCTCTAAATTTGGGTGGGACAGGAAAACCAGGTCCTGCCCAGCTAGTGCTATGAGATACACGTCTCTTCTGCTGTCATCGTGCATGGCACGGCCAAGCAGCAGGGAGAGTACATGGGTGGCGAGCTGGGACACACACAGCTGGAGACATGCAGACCTCTTGCTGCTCATCCATGAACAGAAATCAAATACTTCTGTCATCCCTGCTGGACTTAATGGCTTGATTAGTTTAACTGCCACTCCCTCACACTGATATCTGCCCTGCTGCTGACACCTCTACTATCTGACCTCTGGAACCTAAAGCCACTTGGGGAAACCAGGTATCTAAAATGGACCCTGTTTTATGAGGAAGGGCTTTAGATGGTCATCCGATCAAACTTTCACCACACTTAATTTCTCCAGTGCCAAGAGCGCCTGATGACAAGGCAGATACAGGCAGTGCCTTTGCTAGTTTAAAATGAGGAGTGGATAGCACCTGCGAGTACTGGGATGTGAGGTGTTTAGTGCTAGGTCACTAGTTCAAATCCAGGTCAGGCCATTTGTGACTGAAAGCGGTTATCTGATGGCAGCTGGAGGGCCTATGCAACACAGATTGGTGGATCTCAGTCCAGTTCCAACCGGGCCCAGTAAACCACCACTACTGGCAGCTGCACCAGAGAGACCAAGGACCCGGCATGCCTGTAGTGTGTTTCACTCAGGGGTCAGCAGGATTAGTGGGCAAGCTGTGGCTCGATAGTTCTTCTGCCCCCACAAAGTCCTGGGCAGGGCTGTAGGGGGACCCAGATCCTCCCTCTCCAACAGGTCCCAGCCCAGGGCCCAAGGCAGAGAGAGAGTTTCTTGGTCACCTCTTTGTGGTGCACCTGGCAGGCCTCCTGTGGGCTGCTTCCCACCTCCCTGCTCTCTTTGGCTTGGAGGTGTGGTGGCAGCCCCCTCACCCCTAGCACAGAGATCCCAATCAGTCCCAGCAGCTCTCGCTTTAACTGGATGCTCGGAAGACCGCTGTTTTCCCTCAGCAGGGAATGGGGAACCCTCCTGGTTGGGGTCTGACCCAAAGTCCAGACACTTCTCCTCTGGATTGCCTTGCCTCCAGAGGCTGCGAATTGGCTTCCTCTCTTTGGACAGCCTCTCCTTCACTCACCTCGGGCCTGACTGTTAAGTCCATCTTGGAGCAGGTCCTCCATTTGACACATGCTCTGCAGCTGCTGAGGGGTGGGGCCCTTCTGCCCAGTACAGCTCCTTCCCTTCCTTAGGCTCTGTGCGGGGTCTGTAAACACCATCATCACAGTGCCATAAAGATCAAATGAGGTCTTCATAGTTAGAGGAGGTCCCCTGAGGAAGGGCTGAGGCATGTTGGTTGGGCGGCACGCGTGTGAGAGAGCCACATGTTACCCATACTTGTCCTGGGGGTAAACTTCAGCCTCCAGGTTTCTCAAGCTGGCACCTGACCTTTCCCAAGAACACCCGCGAGAATCAGAAATGACTGGGCAGTTTTTCAAAGCTGCAGAAGGGACCCAGTCACAGAACAACATAGCTTTCTGCCAGTACACACGGAGCTGGTTCGTTTCTGGATTAGCCAGTGCACTTCATTATCCCAGCTGGTATCCAATAAGCTCTTATGTCAAGTCTTGTTCATTTCTACCGATTAACCACCCACCCACAAAGAGATTCGCATCTCAATTAATAAGGATGAACAATCTCTTATGTTGTTGTGGGCTACAACCCATGTGAACCTTCAACTAGACATGAAACCACTAATCTTTACATTGTTGCCTTTTGTCTGAATCCTGAAGTAAATGTGAGTTTTCAGTCAGCATCTTCATTTATTCTCCATTTTCCCCCGCCTGGTGCATGCCAACTGTTTTCTGGTTACAGTGCAATTATTGTGTGTGTGGACTAAAAAGGAAAGGGAATGCTGAATATATTCTTATCTTTCTCATACATGCAGTGGCGAAAAAGAATTGCCTTGGCCTTTTCTCTTTATTTTATTTTGGAGAGGGGGGTGAAAGCAGCTTTATTATTTACAAAAAATAAAAATAAAAAAATTCTTTCCTGAATGTAAATGTTTAAATTCTAGCCTTTTTGCAAAATGAGCAACATAATACATTTAAAGGGACACTGCCAAGATAAAAATCACATAAAACATATACACACTAAAAAAGGCACAACCCTTCTATATGTTGCTCATTATCTGTGCAGCTGAGGTTGGGATTCCAACTTGGCAGGAGACTGTTTATATTTTTTTTAAAAGCTTTCATTTAAATAATAAAAACACATTAAAGCTTTTCAGTCCATTTCAGGGTCCTGATCCCACAGTTAGGCCCATATGGACAGATCCTTGCTCCAATAGCTGTGGTTGAAGCAGACCTTTTCATGGGATTCCATGTGGTTTAAGGCTCTAGCCATGGGGTACCAATAGCAGGATTAAGGCCCAGTTTTGCAAAAGCTGCTTGTTTTTTTTTAAAAAAAAAAAAAACAACCCAAAGCCTAAATTTTGGGGCCTAAACTACTTGTTAGCACCCTTTTAACACCAGCAGCAGCAAGGTATTCTCATGGTCCAGGGGCTCCCCACAAGTATTCCAAATGCGTCAACACGGTTAGATTTTCCTTCCGGCTGGCTGGCACACACGTGCACACACACACACAGAGGTTCTAATTTGAGCTTCATTGTGGGTTTTGTTTTAAGTGAATCTCAGCAAACTCTCCTTTACAGAATATTTCTCTCCCAGGACAGAATTGCTCAATATATTTATTCCCATAAGAAAAAACGTAAAGGCATAAAGAGGGAGCCATTCCCATCTCACACCCCCACCCCCTCCATTCCAGTGAAAAGCTAGCTTGGCACAAACACACACAACTACATTTCAGATTCATCCTTTGAAGAAGAATAAAGGGGAAAAAGGAAAAATTCAAACCACTGTCGCACACTCTGCTGCATAAGGCTCTCTCAGCAGTCTTACCCAGGCAGTATGAGAAAGAGAGAAAGAACCCTCCCTTATACAGCTGCTAATGGGCTTCCCTTTTTTATCTGATTTTTTTGCTCATCAGCTAAGGAACCAAAGGCTACAGAAAGATGCAAAAATAATAAAATAAACTTGGAGAAAAAAAAAAAAAAAGCATGCTATCCAATCTGTTTCGAAATCCGGAAGGGAACACTGAAATGGAGCCCTGCTTCCAGACCCTGCCATTTTTTAATTGCTACTTTCTGACAATAAAATCAGCAACATTGCAAAACTGCAGGTTCTATGAATCTTTATGCACGACCACGGATGGGACACAAAACGGACCAAATGGTAGTGAGATGAAGCCTTGTGAACTAATAACCCCACTGACAAGACAACACACCGCCTGATACTTTTAATGGAGCGAGTGCTTGTAGATTCCTTCCCTGGGTATCCACGAACATTGTGTTTTCACCTCTCCCCTGCAATTTTGCATGCAAGGTGCTTCCTTATCAGCTATGTTTTTATCTTAACAATTAAATACTATGGGCAGCTTGTTTTATGGAACCTTGTTTATTTAATCTCCATTTTGTTCTAATTAGCCTCAAGGAACCTAATGCCACTCTCCTGAGAGCCACATTCCCTGGTGACATCCCCGCAGAAGCGATAAACAAAACAGTCTAGGGTTTCTCCGCACCAGGGGCACTGGCTCCTTACAGTGTTGAGTCGAGTCATTGCTTTTTGCTGTAACTGAGACGCCCGCACGCCCTCTGTTATCCCTGTGGGTGACAGCAACGCTCTGGGCACAGTGGCTGTCTCGGGGAGCAAGGGCGTAGGCGAGTAATTCAAAATGCTCATGCCCCTGTCCCCCTCCCCAAACCCAAGAGGTAACAGTTTCCCAGGGTACAACATTTTGACATGCAAAACAGGCCTGGTTACTCTCACGTGGATGAGCACAAGAGATGCAGAGGGATCACTTTCCCCACACCCCTGCCCTTGGAACAGCCAGGCTCCCAGGGCTCTGGGTGTACAGCACTGTTAGTTACTAGACACCTCACAGGGGTGGTGGCCCTCACCCTCCTGCTGGCAGCGGTATCACCATGGCCCTTCCCTTTTAAAGGGATATGGCTGGAGGGAGTGCATGATGTAGGAGAGAAAGAACCCTCCCTGATACAGCTGCCAATGTGCTTCCCTTTTTTACTGCCGCCCCCCACCACCATCATAGGCAGTCTGGTTGCCTCTGGGCTGATAGCACAGTGCCGCCCTGCACTCCTGATTGGGGGGTATATGCTGGCCCAAGCCAGCTGTAATATGGTCGCCGCCCTGGAGGGCTCCCACAGAGGGTGCAGTTAGACATTTTCCCTTTCAAGAAAGCAGGAGGCAACACAGTTCAGCTGGGCAGCCGGGCAAGCTGAGTTCGAGTTCCAGCACTTCTACTGACTGTAAGAGCCTCACTTCCCCTTGCTGTGTCCAACAGGGGCAGTGATGATGACCTTCCTTCACAGTCTATGGATGAAGAGCAAAGAATTTTTGGCCTGAGGGTCTTGGGAGTTTTGAGCACTTCACACCCCAACATCCACAGCAGCCAAGTCAGGAACCGTTAGGACAACAGCAACCACAATTCCCCCAGCACATTAAGTAACCTGATGTTTTAAGCCAAGCCACTATCAATTGCAACATGCAGCTGAAGCCCACAGAGTCTACACACCATAGCTTACAATGCTCCGCTTGCTCTGGGTAAATGAAGCACTGCCCTTTGTAGTCTCTACAGGTTGCACCTAATTAAAGATGGGCAAAATCTGCTCTATACTTTTTTCAAATTAGATGTAGCACCTGAAAAGTTGCCAATGTATCCTTTAGTCGGGCAAAATTCGAGCACCCTGTTTTACACCCATCCTCCTCCTGTTGGAAAAAGGAGCAATTCTGCGTCAAGGGATCATAGCTTGTGCCTATCGCTCCTGCTGCCATCAGCCAATCCTTGCTAGAAATACTTTGCAACATTCTCGTTTCAGTTCCTGGCCCCAACATGCTGCTAAGTGGGTAATCATGTTTTCCATTATCCTTCTAGCGGCGAGTCTGTCTGTGTCTTGGGTATCGATTTCATAAAAGCTTTTAAAGGAATAAATAAGAGGATTGCTGTGGAATACATGCGATTCCCGAATGAAAGCTACAAATTCAGGCCATCTCGCAAGTTGCTCAGAAATAAAACAAAACAATACAAACCAGGTCACAAGTATGGCTTGAGGCTGATTATCATCTCAGAACTAATCCTTCCACATGGGGCCATAACCAGGGCAGGGCAGCCACTCAGGGTGCAAAGCCACAAAGGCAGAAAAATGGGGTGGAGAAATGCCCCCCCCAAAAAATGGCAGGGGGCAAAAATATGTATGCTCACCCCAGCCACTAAAATGTCTAGTTACAGATCTGCTTCCACACCAAGGACGTCGGCAGTGGGTGGTGTCTAACATGGAGGCAGGAGCAAGGGGTTAATGTGACGACAGCACTGCGTACAAAGGTCCTCTCCCCAGTGCCAAGTGCAGCTTTTACGCCTGCTCAAAAGATGCGGGGGAGCAGACCCTTGGCAATGGGCCCTGCAGCCACCAGTACCCAGGCCGCCACTGACATTTGTAGCTCTCTCCCCTCAGAAGAGTAGCAGAGGCCTTCTTGGAACTCCCGGCAACCACTCGTTCCGTTTGGCCTCCCAGCTGGAGAGACATGGGGATGGCTGGCATGATGCCACCACTGGCAGATGGTAGCCACTGTAAAATGCTTCTGTCTTAACTACTCAGCAGGCTGGGGGATTTTGGGTCGTGGATAGGCCCCAGCATCAAAACACTGGCTCTCTCTATCAGCCTCCCACTGACAGCTGGCTCAGCCCGCTGAGTACTCTCCCCTTCTGGGCTTAGCATTTACTCCCACATCTCCCATCTCATAAGCCAGTCAGCCACTCTCATTGCCGTACTTCATCATGCTTGAAAACAGGTCGACCTAAACTTGGCCCTAATTCCCACCTGAGCTGGCTACGTCCAGAGCTTTCACTTCAGATCAGCTCTAAGGCTCAGCTTCTCAGAGGTATTTCATCTCAAAAGGTGAAATCAATGGAAGTTAGGAGCCTAAATACCGTGGAGGACCTGGGTCTAAGCTGTGCAGTGCTGCTGAAGGTGAGCAACCGAATGAGACCCACCTAAGTCCCGCTGCTTGTGAGAGTCAGCAGAGAACTCCGCACCTCCACTCAGTGGTTGATGTTTCTCACCCAAGCTTGAGCAGCTCTTCCAAACAGGACCCTAGAGCCCAGCCACTGTTCCCTCCATGGGGCATTCCTGTGATGGGAACTGTATGTTGGACAGCTTCTGGGGACACATTTGGTTCACTCATAGACATTAAGACTAGAAGGGACAATTATGAATATCTAGCCTGCCCACCTGCATAACATAGGCCATATAATCTCCGCCAGTGTATAATTTTGGCTTCCACCCCACATGCTACCTCAAGATTTGGGCCTGTACCTCTGGCACCATAAGCAAGAGCCAGGCTAACTCTCCTTTGGTTTTCAAACAAGGCCTCCTCCACTCACGCCACGGGGAGGGCTACCATTAAGCCAAAAAAGTGACCCTGCAAGGCAGCTACCACTGGTACACGTTGCTTTCGCAGATAAAGTCGTAATGCCACCAAGCAACCGATTACATATCAAAGAGCTAATGTCATTCCAAGCTGACAAGCCACTGACGAGGGCCTGCATACAACATGCCCCTTCTGCTGAGCTGGCCTGGATTGTGCTTTAGGGTATTGAGGAGCGGACTACACCAAGACGTATAGCTCAACCCCGCTTCCTTTACCCTGCCATGACGAAATGTGGGTGGAGCTACTAGAGCTGGCAGTTTTCCGAGGCAGCAGGGCCAGATTCAGGGGAGCCAAAGGCTTATGCTAGATGTGAATTTGCTTGTGTATTCAATCCTCTGCGGGGAGGTAGACACTGCTGATAATTAAGGGATGGCATCATCTCCATAGTTACTCTCATCAGGTCTTTCCTGGATAGAATGCCCCCTTGCTACAAAGTCGTGGTGGTGTGAATGACACAGGGCACCCATCAAGAGGTAGATGAAGGATCCCCCTTCAAAAAACCTCCCAGGGATGCTGGGCATTTTTATGTTGATATTTCTGAATTAAAATAAAACCTTCAGAGATGGATGCAAATGCAAGAGCTGGAGAAAGGTCCTTAGAAATGAGCATATGCAAGAGAGAGACCCTGGAAAATACAGCTCCCTGTTCTATACTATGTTTTATTTATAACCCAGTGTCCCTCGAGATTCAAATCTCTTCCGGAAATAGATGCTGAGAAAAAGTTAAACGTGGCTAGGTGAGTCTGCAGCCCAGCAGGAAAACAGGCTGCACAATAAAGAGCTGCAGGTCACAGCAGGACTCCATAAAAACAGTACTCAGAAACAGGAGGAAAGAAAGGGAGGGTGCCTTCCAGAGAGGATCCCTCCAAGAAACTGTAGGCTTGTAAAACTGCCCCACCTCTGTCCTCAATCCACCTGGTCAGCTCTTGTCGACACCAAGAGAACTGCCAACCCAGTACAGAAACAGGACTATTAGTGACTAAGCAGTCTAGCCATCAGGAGGCTTTCCACTTCACACTGTCCGAGCACTTGGGGACAAGAGACTCACACCAGGAAAGAGATCTTAGTTAAAACTGAAGAGGAGTGAACTTGCGGGGGTCCTAAATGGAACTGCTTTGCTTTTGAGCCTTAACTGGATCTATAGACAGTTTTCCCAGTAAGAAAAACCAATGATATCAGTGGGGTGATTAAGGGGATTCTGGTGGATCCCAAGAGGGCCTCCCAAAATTTCTTTTGCAAGGGAAGAGCAAAGGAATTAAATTTTAGGAGGGTTAATTAAGGAAAACACAAAATAACTCAACCAAACAACTTTATTATGAAAGCACTGAGAAAAAATCATATCCAGCCCCTGGCCAGATGAAGGACATTAGGAACCTCAAGTGATGTTCTGATTCTATTAAGCAGTCTGTCTGCAGCCAACTTAAACAGCTGTCAACAAAATTACAATGTATATTCCAATCTCAGCAGAACACATTCCCGGCCAGCAATCCTGTTTACTAAGGCCCGTTTACAGGGTGATAATGGCAGAAATATACTGTGAGCAGATAGGCACGCCAACTTTAGTGTGTAGCAGCCAAGGGCCTTTGGAACCTACAGTACATACCAGGTAAGAGGTACATCAGGTTTAGATGGCTGGTTCAACTGGCTATTGTCCCAGTGAGGTGTTTGCACCCACACTGCTCATTCTCAGCAGCACGCGTATCTAGACCGAATCTTCATAAAAAGTCTTTGCCATCGCATGTGCCAATTTCGCCACCTTCTTCTCCTTTGCATCAGGGCCCATATTGTGGCGGGCTAGTTTAATCCAGTATTGCTCAGTCCTGGGCAGATAGTCTGTGTATTTCTCATCAAGCTGAACAGATGGGTGCCGCTCCTCTTCTAGCGCATGACGGGAGGGAAACAGAAAGGAAGAGAGAGGTCACAAACAGCTGATGAAA